TCTTTCTGTCTCATACTCACATGCAAACACAAACCCACACACTCACACATACACACACACATACACACACACACACACACATACAAGCATGCATACATTTTCACAAACACGCACACAAACACACACAAGAAAACACACATACACTAACACCCCCATCCCCCCACACACACATACACACACACAAACACACACACACACACAAACACACACAAGAACACACACATAAACAAACAGCCCCCCCCACACACACATACACACACACACACACATACACACACACACACACACACACACACACACACACACACACGCACACAGAGTGCTGCTTCTGTTGTACCAGACCTTTATTCGTTGACATCAAAGTTCCTAGATATAAGTCATCTTGGCTTCCAAACTGAGTTTGCTTTGTGTCACAGGTTAGAAACAAGAAACATTCCCGCCAATCCCGGAAAATTGAATTTCTCATAGACTGCATCTGAAGCGGCAAAGTTCTCTAAACAGGTTTGGTTTAACTGGCGGCATCTGAACCGTGAGTGTTCTTGGTAAAAGTCTTGTTCAACTGTGCCTTATGGACAGCATCTGAATTTGGAGGGCTGATGGTAAATGTCGTGTTTAACTTTCTCACAGGATTCATCTCCTCATAAACTGCTTCTGAACCTTCATTGCTTTTGATAATAAATGTCTTGTTTAATTGTCCTAGAGGATCCCTAACATTATAAACGGAAATGTTCTTGTTAGAGGTCTTTTTAAACGGATCCACAGGATTCAGTACTGCATAGACTGCCTCGGAACCGGCGGGGCTCTCTGTCGAGGTCGGGTTTAACTGCTCCAAAGAACTGAGGTCCCAAATTTCCGAAGATGAGGCGTCGCTATCCTCGAGAAAAGCCTGGTCGTGGAGTCCCAGAGCAGCAAGTTCTGTAGTGCTCTCATACGATATATCTACGTATTTAACCTTTGGCAGGCTGGTAGTGTTTTGTACAAACGCGCATGTTTCTGGCTTTTTCTTGAAGAACAATTTCAGAAGTTTCTTTCTCAATGTCGCTCGTGGCTCTTTTGTCTTCACGACGGGGGATTTCCCAGAGAGATAGGCAGACAACGATGTCATGTTTACTGGAGTCTTGAATCTGCCCTCGCTTGTCCTGATAGAAGGTAAACCGAGAGCGCCCGCTATAAACAGCTGATTGTGAGATTTTCGCTGACTCTTGAAACGTTTTCGCAGTCTTTTGCTGAGTGATGCACGGGGCTTTTTCTGGACGAGGCTGGAGTTCCCAGAACAGCAAGAACGTGCAGGCATATTGGCGTTGGTCTAAGTCAGGGGCGTCCAGAGAAAAGGGTGTCCTCAGAACAGAAAAAAATCTGCCCAGCTGTTGATATTGTGCAGAATCTGGAAAAGAAGATAAAGAATTTTTTGTGAATAAAACTTTCAAGATGTAAATTAACGAACTTTTACAACAAAAAATAAAAAGCAGGGTGTTGAGAGGTGTAGTGCACGTACCCTTTGGGCATCGATACTATTCGATTTTGGACATAATTATTTGTCATTTTATCCCAAATGTCACAGAGAGTTGCACACAAATGGTCTGAATTGAGAACAAAGACGCTTTTCTTCAGCTGCTGTTTCATGGTACTTCACTCTTCACATACAAAGTACTTGTAGAATTCTTATCAGGGTTATTTACTAGTGACTCCAACATTGATTTGGATTTGGTTATCCAAGATTTATCTTGGGGCATTGGCGCTGAGAGAAAATTCTTTGCGATGCATGGAGATGCTTACTTGAATGACACCATGACGACAATTAGGGTAAGATATGACGTTCGAGAATTTGCATAATGTAGTCCTCTATAACACAGGCCATGTGCAAAAAAGTTTTCCTGCTCGAAACGAAACCATTAGATCCTAAACAACACAAAATTAATACTAGTGAGTACATTTTTGTATGGTATTTGTAGCTCTACGAGGGCCTCTACGAGTTAAGAAAAACGGTCACATACGTAAGACTCAGTTGCACTGCAGGTTGAAGAACCAGCTTGCTTTTTCCAAAATGTAAATTGCTGCTTTCAAAACATATTTTTCCATACATACATATAGATACTCAAACAATTCCGACTTTAAAAAAGTAAAACCAAGCCATGCTGGGAATTAACGTGGAAACAACCAACTTGAGTCAACTGCCCTCATATTTTTTATGACGTTATTGCAGATGCGAGCACCGTAAAATACTTACCAAACGCATTTACTAATTTTAGTACATGTACTTGGATAAATAAGGGATAATGATACAAGTAAAACTGTTGGAGGTGACATTTTTTTTATAAACAACAATTCTATTTTGGCACCAAATATGCACCCCACTGTAACTGCCTTTTCTGTGGAATGGTTCACTTTTGCTTGTCTGTTTGTTTTGGGAGTTTTGTTTCTGTTTTTGTTCTCTCTCTCTCTCTCTCTCTCTCTCTCTCTCTCTCTCTCTCTCTCTCTCTCTCTCTCTCTCTCTCTCTCTCTCTCTCTCTCTCTCTCTCTCTCTCTCTCTCTCTTTTTTTTCTCTCTCTGTGTTTTGGGTTTGTTTGTTTGTTTGTTTGTTTTTTGAGGGGGTTTTTAGGATGGAGGTGTAATTTTCTACAAGCCCAAAGCCGTTACTCTGCCTCAAAGAAAGCCTCTGTGAGTGCACCATGAGAGCTAACAGACTGTCTGTTCTAATACATGTACAGTTGAAATACTGAAGCCGAGAGAGGGGCATGCAAGCTGCTCAGATTCACAAGTGTAAATAACGCTTTCAAATAGTCAGAATATGGCACACCATTGTCTTCCAAAAGTGGTCACTTTTGCAACAGCAAAACCCACAAGTCATTGCAACCGATGAAGGAAATAAGAAATGTATCAAGACGCGGTAGAATCAGGCTCTTGTCAATTTTGGGGCATGGTGAGGTAATTGGTATCATCTTAATAATCATTTGTCTTGCTTTGAATAAAAAAACTTTCCTTAAATCTTGAATAGAAATAAATATATCTCGGCGGAGAATTCTAACCGTCCAACTCCGATTTCGTAAATTTTGCAGGAGAGACAAAAAACTGAATTCAAAGGCTCCTATGGCGATTTACTATCTTTAAAAGCGCTAGACTGGAATACATGACTCTAATTTTAAGTATTTAAAACAAAATTGCTGAAATTTTGTTATTTTAAGTCCTAAACCAAAGTTATACGGATAGACCGCTCAGTTTTGGATTTCTAAGCGTCCAAGTGTCGACTAACGAATTGTTCGTTTAGAATTCTCCAACTCGACGGGGATGCCATGCGCTTCGTTACGTCTAACTCAGTCATCGTGACACGTTAGTGTTACCGAACAACTCGAAATGGCTACAGCTGCAGTCAATCCAATAGGAAACCTACTATAAAAGTTGTAATTAGTACTACATAGTCCAGTAGATCTAGAATCTAACAATAATACTGTTATTATATCTAAAACTGAACTTCGCACTTCATTTCCACATAATTCTAGTTAGGCAATGGGCTTGTCGACATATTAAGTGCGTCGTTAAGTTTTTACTATAAAGCTACTATTTGATCCTCCATTCTCAAGAAAATTGTGAGAAGGATTGGTTACTTGTCTAGCTACAAGAGAGGGAGAGAGAGAGAGAGAGAGAGAGAGAGAGAGAGAGAGAGAGAGAGAGAGAGAGAGAGAGAGAGAGA